TTCATTATTTTTCATTTTTAAGAAAGCCTATCTGGAAACTAGTTTTTAACACATCAGCTGTGTTTTGTTTAAAGAGCAGGCGTTCTCTGCTGTTGTTTCAGTAGCCTCGTTTTCAGACTGATGTCTTGTTCCCTCCCTCAAGTACACTTTACTAGGAAACAGTCTTTGATCTCAGGCAAGATAGGTTGAATACTGATCGTGTGATCCAACTTGAAATGTAGCTTGATAGACCCATTTTACAATGATTTCTACTGCTGTGAGAAAATTTTGTCTCTGGGAATAGCAAATAAAAATTGTACTCAACAGCATCTGTCTCTTCTTAGTCTCAAAAGAAGTCTTGTGGTATTAGAGATTTAGTCATTCAGTACATTTGTAGACTCTATGAAGTGTATTTTTAATAGCTGTAGACTAAGTATAACAATACTGTTCCCCATCCTTCTGTTCCCCAGTTTACTACTTCTGTCCTGTCTACTGTGTGTCTATCCTTTTAATAAATTAATTGATTTCAGAAGGGTGAGTCTGGTATCTTTTGCCAGTGCTGAATTCACAAGTTTACATAATGAAGGAGAATATTATTTCTCTTAGGAAACGATTACTTTATATAGTCCTGAGGACCAAATTCATAGATGCAGGACAAATATAAGGATAATATGTGGGAGATCCAAAAAAGGAAACAAAGATTCTGAAGATGCCTCTCCCCAAGTATAATAATATAAGAATGTGCAATAGTAAAGTAATGTGTGAGTATAACCTTGTGGAGCTGTGGTATGGTTTTTGTTGTTGTACTGGTGGGAGAAGAGTTAGCACATTAGTAGAGTGCTTGATTCCTTCCAGAATTTGCTTGTGCAGTAGGTCATAGCAGAGTTCCTTTGAGTACTTGGGGTTTGAGTCTTTGTCGGATTCTAGATTGTTACACTACAATGTGGGATGAGGAGAAAAGAATGAATACGTGGGTTAAGCCTTGTATGAGCCAACTTAACTTGGCACTTTCTGATGTAGATTGAGGGCAGATGAATGTGACAGACCATACAATATATTTGACCCAGGCTAGATATTAGTTTCTGAAAATCAGTATTGTATTTGAATGCTTTAAATACAGATTAAAAAAAAATAAATTGCTTCTGATTCTCTGAGCGTCAATGCTGTTTGGGGAGAAGGTGTCTTTGTATGAAGACCAACATTGTGGAAGTAGCAGCTTTTGTGAGAGCACAGAAGGAACCATCAAAACCTGAATGACTCATCTTTCAATGTTGTATCAATTGAGACGGATTTGAAGAAATTCAAGAAGGGGAAGAAAAAAAAAAACCCCAAACAGAAAAAGAAAACACAGCACAAGAACTCACTGTTTTGGTAGTGCCCTCTTAGGGTGTGATGAAGCCTTTCTCCCTCTTTGCCCTTGCAGTATTGGATAATATGCATTTCCAACAGATCTTAAAAATTACTCAGAAAGGATATTCCAGCTTCTCCTCTCCTAATTTTCAGATCTTTTTCATGTGAGAGTACTGAAAAGCTTTTGCTAGAAACAAAGTTCCTAAGCATCATGGATGAAGCTGTGTAGACAAGTAAAATACTGATAAACAGGCAATGGTATGCAGATTTTGTGGTGGATATCGATGTCTGTGGTGCCTGTAATACAATAGGGAAATACGCAGGGCACAGATTACAGTAGAGCTACTATATAATTGGGGGGTTTATGTCTTGATCTTGATTAGTTGTTGTTATTGTGTGTGTGTGTTTGTTTCTTGATGCTTTTAGAACACTAGTGAAACTAGAATAATTATTTAATTTCCTTTTTGTGTATGTGTGAATTGTAAACTGAATCTGTTCAACATAATTCCATAGCCTGCTATGATTGTAGTTATGTAGAAGTTGCCAGATAGACAGAATTGAGCAATGTTTGTCATGTTTCAAGCAAACTTTGGAGAATGTTCTGTTGACCACCTCAGCTTTAGCAACAAACCTCTGGCATATTAATTTTGGAACTCCTTGTAGCAAAGGTATGTCAATGTTAACATGATTGAGTAACCAACTTGTTCTGAAGACAGCTTTTTGAGAGACCTTTCCTGTCTTAAATTTTTTTTTTTAATTATTTTATGGCACTCAGTAATTACACATGAATTTGTATTTAGGAGCAGAACGTACTGATCTGCCTGGTACATTCCAGATGGATCATACAGTAATCCTTGTGTGCAGCCCACATGAGATTGGCAGAGTGTCAGCATGAGAAGGGGGCAGAGAGAGTGAAAAAGAGATTTATGAAGGTCTGAGTGATTTAATCTAGGATTCCAAATCAGCTTAATCCTTCAAGTACTGGCTACATCAAGTCCATATGTGAAAATGAATGAATTCTGAGATTTCTTTTTTTTAATGAAGTGAATGGGTGCTTTTTATAGTGTGGTGTTTTCTGTGTGTGTTTCAGTATAAGCATGGAAACATACTGTAGCTCATCCTCTAGTGAAAAGACGACTATGCTTTGTCTGATTTTGTAATTACAAGGCATCCAGTATTTCAGGCACGAAGAGTTTTGACCTTCAAGTTAGTGGTTAAAAGTCAGAAAGATGTGAGAAGTTGCTTCCTGCCTCTGTCCCTAAATTACAATATATAGTCTTGGTTTTGTATTTATTGCTTTCAGTTAGAAATTGAAACCAAAAGAATAATAAAGCTCAGATTGTTTTTTAACTTGTTGCCAAAAAGTTTAACCCATGTTTTGCTGTTGCGGGTAAGTGACCAGAGCGATCATCATGTGTTGTGCTAAAGTTCAGCTATGTAATATGTATAAGGTGTAGTTTACCTATTGAAAGTTAGACTGTTCTACAGTTTGGGTTTTTTCACTGGTGATTTAAACTGTAATACAATTTCTATATTCGTTCATGTATATATTTATTAAAGATGAAAGTGAATTTGATCTGTAAACATACCGTCTGTTGTAATGCAAGTCTCTTGTCTGTTTTTTGCCTTGTTCACAGAAAACCAAATTAACACCTTCTGAAAATACATGGTTAATTAAATCTGGTGGAAATAAGTTGGTGACGAGCTCTCTTTCCAGCTACTTGGAATGATTTCTGACAGGATTTTTTTTCTAAGCGGTTTCTAGTTTGGGTTCTTAATTTAATGAAGTGTAGCAAACTTCCTCGTTAGC